CGATTTACAAACAGTGGGGACGGTAGTGTTTGGGTGTGAAACGTGAGTTAGCACGTGCGAATGCTGTCATGCTTTCACTACTGTCTGCGTACGTGCTTGCATGCACGTCTGCAATTTGTTTTGTTCCACTTTATACCTGACTAAAAATTAGCATGAAGTTTACACTAGAAATAAAAATGAATAAATTACGCAAGAAGCATATGATTGGTCTGAATTAGCCCTTTCCCTTATAAAGCGACACATCATTTCGAGCGTGTGCCATATCCGGCTGATGAAAGCTGTTCTTATTTACTCCGATTAAACCATCCTGTAGAAAACTAAGATTATTTTTGTAAAAAATTTAAACTGCTATAAAATTCCATATGCAGCTTGTAGGGGTGGCAAATAGCTGCCGGCGTTTCGTTCTCCATTTCATAGCCCGTTTTCATCTTATGGTTGGTTGTTATTCATGCTATTTGCGTTGTAGGTAATAACCTGTGTTGCTTATCCCGAAGGCCTTCTGTTCAATAACTGCCAGGAGAAATAAACCAATAGCGTTACCTTAAATAGGTCTAGGCCTGCTGATTCGAGAACCACATACTGGTTATGATTCGTAACCCATAAGCTCATATCAGTAAAGTGAGCCTTGGTGACTGATGTTGACATATCTTCCGTTTGTCTTACCTATTAGTCGTTTACTTTATTTCGCATGTAAATAGCATGAAGAACAGATTTCTCCGTATCTTCTTCAGGAAATGAAATGAATGATAGTTCCCATTCCGCCTGTCCATGTTTGTTAGTCTAAGTGCTAGAGACGCATAAAGGGGCGCTGAGTGAGCCTACCGCTTCGGAGTACATTTCTGACTTTATGATTAATATTACGGTTTTAAGATACTCGAGGCGCAATGCGTTGTGTTGTATGTTGTCGTCTTCTCAGTGTAGGCTGTAATGTAGCTCAGATTTGTGAGGAACCGCGGTTTGAAATTGTTCTTCTGGTTTATCTCAGCAGCATATTTTGCTGCAACTAGGGCCGTATTTCTCATCTCTCTGCATCAACAAGGTGTTTCGAAGTTTAGTATTTTCTTGCAACTCATCTGCTGCCAGTCGACCTTTCCTAGAGCGAAACATTTCAAACAAATTTTCAGCTTTTATTCTCAGGTCATTTCATTGAACTGAATCAGGCTCTGACCCCAGTTGTTTTGGTAGCAACCTGACAGCAGTGTGGCCTTTGTTGCAATTTTATATTCTGGTTTTTCCCTATTTCATACTTTCCTCAAATTAGTTGTTACATATGCAGTGCATTGACTCATCTCCGGATCGTAAGACTTAAGAGTCAGCGTTGAGCGTTAGTTAACTGTTCAGAAATAATTGAAAGTGTCCACCTTTTCTTTAGATGCGCATTCTGTAGTTATTCTCAGGTTATCGGTCATAGTTGGTCGTGTCGTAATTGTTTTCGTGGCATTGATTTCTGGCATCACTCCCGCAACTGCACAACATACGCTTTCAGTTAGTAGCCACAGACCATTTGCGAAGTCTCTCAGCAGTACGATATCGTATGCATATCCAAGTTTAGTCTTGAATTTTGTTAGACATTTTGAGCTCCATCACTTGAGGATGCTCAGTCCTCGCTCTTATTTGGGAAGACTTTATTTTACATCACGTAGTCCTGTACAGTTTTTCATAGCAGCGGGTAAATCAACTCGCCCTCACCAACCGGTCTGACTGTGGTCCCTTGGTTTGGCAGGTATTTTTTTGCTTCATACAGGCCGTCTCTCAAGCTTAGCGTTATCTGTGGAATTCTATAATGTCAAGTCACGGGCGACGTGGTATAGCGATCAGTTGCTTCGAAGGCTCCCGGATACTGAGGCGAAAGGGTACGAGGCTAATTGGATACTCATTT